GTCCGAGAAATAGCTTGCAAGGTGCTTTCTCTGACTTTTTTGCCCCACTTTTCCCTAAATTCAGCTAATGCCAAGCGTTCTTAGCCGATAAATTTCTTTACAATTCGCAAATTTTGTGAGCATTGATACCGCAAAACTTATTTGTTATTATAATCAAATAAATTTGCAATTAAATTGCTACATTTTGCTTGCTCTAATTGCAAGCGACATGATTTTGTGACATATGGTCGAAAATTGGGGTCTACAGTTATTTGGATCATTTTTAAAAACTATATGGAGAATAAACTACTCCTTGAGAATATATTCTGGGAGAATTTCTTACATGTATTAATTGTTTTGCTTCTCGGGTTAGGGGTCTTTCTCTTTAAAAGTATAAAATAAATACAGAATGTTAATAGACCGCCTTCAAAAGCAGGGACATTTTAGGCAGCTTCTAACTGTGAATCCTAAAATTCTTTGAAAATTATAAAATACTCATTCCTTTGGAAAATTAATATAGAGCGACAATCCATCTCTCTGCCCTCTTCCTAGTTATCACTTTATATTGGTTATTTGAAGCCTTTTTCTGCAGTGGGGGAAATGACATTTCTCAACCTTCTCAGCTTGGATCGGCATTATAATACAGCAGAATAGGTTTTCTAGTCTATAAACGACGAACATCTCGTTAAGAGGAAGGGCCTAAATGAATTCTTAAAAAAGACTTTGAATTCTTAAAACTGAGATCACTCTGTCTGTATAAATTTTTCCTTGAATTTTCGCAAGAGAGCGGTTTACGTCCGTTCACGTCTATTGGTGTTGTTGTATAACTACAAAATTCAGCGCAATGGCAATTTATTCTGAGTTTCACTATTGTATTCTCAAGTTCGAAGTCATTTGTTTACATATTCTCGCTGTAAGAACAGACCCCCGGAATAAGGACAAAAGAATGGTGCTGTCTTTAACGTCACAGTCCCGTGACAAATTGGAAGGTCTAGTTCTAAGCAGCCATTGGTTGATAAGTATTGTGACGTAAGTTGCAAGCTCTGCCATCCTTGCAAGCTCTGCCACGGCACAAACGTAGAACGAGCCAGGGCAGTGTTAAATGAAATAAATTTACAGAGCGCTAATCCAAGTTTTATCCTAAAGGAGCTGCTTTTGCTTGCATTTTCAAATTCTTGAGACATAAACTGAAATTAAGTCCAATATCACTGCCTTCGTACTTTTTAAAAGGAAACGCAAAGTGACGCACTAGATATGAGCATTCAGCTTAACATCAATCGCAATTAAGAAACAAAATAAAATGACATCCGATAAACCGACACGAATCGCCTCTACCGAGCCGTGCGAATTTCACAACGGACGCATAACAATAGCGCCGAATGTTGAAACAATTGTCCCTTCATACGTCACAAGGTACTTTTTCCGAAAAAAAATTTTGTCGTATTTTTATGGTGATTCTCATCTTTGCGCGTCTATATCTGGAAAACGAGTAAAGATTTTCGAAAAAAAATTCACGATACCACCAATTTACGCAAAAATCTCAGAAAATTTTTTTGGGCTGGAGTGGCCCTTTAAACTGTTTTGGAAAAACAGAGTGGCAAGGAGAGGAAACCAAGACTAGTTGAGTATCCTAGTTTTTCTGACCACGCCTATAGTGAACACTTTAAAGGTATTGAGTCATGGTAAATAGGAAGAGTATACCAAAATTGCAAAAAATTGCTGAGTCATTATGATAGCTTCGCTAACCTGATTGGCTGTCAAGCAAACTGCACACACGATGTTGTAAGTGCTCTTTGTTCCGCCGTTTCTAAAGGTTTTTTCTTTCTCTCTTTTTTCTCTTGCTCTCTACAATAGATTTCAAAACCTCTTCCCCCATTTGTACCTTTCAAATGCCACAAAGGCTTTCAAATGCCTTTCGCTTTCGACAAAGATATCTGATCACATGAAAACAAACTTATCACATGAAAACAGACAAACCCCCTCGCGGAGAACCAGTGTTTACCATCTTCTTGGCCAAAGTAAGTTGACGACTGTTCCCTCAGGCTGTTTGAGGATAGATAACTATACACTTAATTGTAGACACAAATACGATAAAAGGCAAGTCATTTCGATTACATATCATTTAAAAATATCCAATTATTTACCCCGAAGAGCTAAACTTTTAAAATTTCAAAATTCTGAAAAAAGGTTGTTAACAGTGATTACATCTGATATAAAAATATTTTAACATCAGAGCACTCTAAAAATAAAAGCGAACAGAACAACTGAACAGAACAAGTAACTAAACAAAACTATTTTCTCTATTTTAAGTGTAAAATAGTCTCACTATCAGGATAAAACCCCACTTTCTGATATTAAATGATTCAAGATACGTCAAAGTTAAAGTTCTTGCTGATTACAAGTTGTCTCTTTTTCACCGATACGTGTTGAACTTTTTTCCACCTGCAAAATAAAGCAGAACATATCAATTTAGCGAAAACTAGGTTTCGCATTCATACAGGAGAAAATTGCTGAGTAAATAATGGAAGGAAGCAATTTGAGAGGAGGATACCAAAGCAACCAAGCAAAGAACTTATCAAGGAAGGTCTGGCTCTATAGGTTGAATCACTGACGCCAATAGCTTCTCCTATTAGCTACACTTTTATGTTATGTAAGTACTAGAAATCGAGGCTCAGGCTGACTGTTGGAATTGGCTTTTCGCTAATATTGTTCCAAAACACTGAGGCTAAACTTGCAATTGAAGATTTAAGACTAGAAAAAGGTTTTGGCTAGTCAACGTCGAGATTTGCAAGAAAAATCTTCTAGTATACCCAAAAAAAAACACGGAATCATGCCTTTGCAAATACAACACATCCACACTGTATATGCATACTGTACACACATGTTGGTACACACTGTATATGCATACCTCTATGAAATCGGTTGTTTGCACCGGTGGACCTTTTTGATTTTCTTTTGCCTGTCACCATTTCGAAATCATCGTAATTGTCATCATCTCTGAAGCTGTAATCTCCATCATTGTTATAATTCTCATCGTCATTTTCTAAAATTGAGGTATGCATATAATTCTCATCATCTTATAATTCTCATCATCATTGTTATAATTCTCATCGTCATTTTGAGTTGTAAAACTGGAATCATTTACAGCCAGGCCTTACGTTACAGAAGAGTTATCACAAGTGACGAAGAGCTATATTCAAAATTACAAGAATTAAAAAACAACCTCATCATAAGGGGATATCAGATCAATGATATAAATGAACAGTTCAATAAGGTCATTAGACTATCGCAATCGCAGCTACTTGAATCTAAACAAATAAATGACGGCAGTTTCTCCACACCGAAAGGCTCTGTTTTACCCTTCATTATACCCTATGACAACCGCACCATTCACATCCGTGAAATTCTCAAAAAACACTGGAATATTATAACAAAGGATAAAGAATTACAAAACATATGGTCAAAAACCCCCATTCTCGCCTTACAAAGGCACAACAACCTTGGAGATTGGTTAACTCATACTAAATTTTGAGCATCATATGACATTGTAAGATGCCTCGATACCACACCATCAACATTACTATTATGTCACACCAGACTCCAATGCTTTTTCTATTCGCGATTTATCTGCATAAACAAGATATCCCAATTTTATAACCATTTGTCTATATATGCAACATACTTCTACATTCAAAGGATGATACATGCCTCTATGGCTACAATATACATATTTTATATACACTGCTACAACATATTAACACACCTTTGCTGGCATCATCCCTGGACGCAGGGGTGAGGGGGCACCCAGGTGTAAAAGAGCATACTGATCATAAGCCCCGAAATGCTCTGCCTGGTGGATTAGCTGAGGAGCTAGCAAGGACTCATAATCACAAATTATATCATACAGATGTGTATATATATGTATAGATATATTGATATGTTTGTGTACATATATAACACTCTGTATGAAAGAGAATAAACAGTATAGAATGCCTATGCTGAAACACGCCCCTTTAATGCGGGTACAGTACTTCAATAGCATACTGGCTCCCAGGTTTCGTTCGGCACAAGACTGTGGGACAGCGCCCGGTACAGCAGGGCTGCGGTTGGTATTACACCATTTTTTCTTAGTTTTCTGACAAGCTGAGCTTGTTATTTGTATGGTTTCAAACAAACATTGCTACGTTGGTGGAACCCAAGATCTCCGCGGGAGAACGCTTCAGGCTTGTCTACTGCGGCGCCCTCATCGGTCATGTTTGCTGTTCGTACATCATCACTGTGGATGCCTGACATGACGATAACCACAAGACCTCTCAATCATATGCTCCACAAATAGGCATACAACAGCCCCTGAGCTTCACTCTCGCTCAAATCTACGCCTGCGCTTGTTGATATAACACAAGACTATCCACAAAATCAGCACGTCATAATGGCCAGCAATTACCTTTCAAACGACAAAGAAGACACACGCGATTCATCCACCACCAAGAAAGGTACTACATTTCTACTTTACAAATTACAAATTATCCACACCTATAATGTTCGTTCTCCTCACATGGTTTAGCACTCTATACAAGTATTTCATATGATACTCGTTACATATATAGCCAAAATTCATGTTTTTATCAATATATACCAGAATTCGCAAAGCATACACCGGTCGGTGCACATATAAACATGTACATATAAAGCAAACGCAATGTACACATAGGAAAATATATCTTTGTATCTACATATCTATGAT